AGTCGTGATACTGGTATTAAAATGATAAATCCTCAGGCTGTTCTTGCTGTCGGGTATTCACAGTGTGTCACTATGACAAACCTCTAGTTTCATGAATGAAAAAAACGAAACTGAGATAATGCATCTCGCTTCCAGCATGTATACAGAAAGTACTGAACTGTAGATTGCATAAAGATATGAAAGAAACCGATCTACTCAGACCGAACCAGTGTGACGTTTTGCTGGATTATAATCTAGTCAACCCACGCTGGCATTCCCAAGTATTATGCACTTTAAATTTTTTCTGTGAATACTAGGTGGATCTATTCAATTCAGAATTCTTTATTCCTTATTAAATAGTCGTGTCTGCATGAACATGGTATTGTTATAACATCATTTTCCTGCCAAAACTTTTAATTTCTTTGTTTTTTTTAATCAAATTGACATTTCTACAAACCATTAAACAACATTTTTGAAAAGATATATGAGACAAATTATTTTCTAGGATGTCGACAAAAATCTAATGGAAAGTGAATTTTTAAACTGTGCACCTACTGATAGTGTATGCAATGTTGATAAGACTTTAATAATTTTTGCTTTGTCGATAATTTGCTTCCTATTACCGGTGCGACTAATTTTGTTTTAATTATATACAATTAATGCAGACCCTGAGGGAATATATTATGGATGGCATCATACTGGTTTTAAATTTGCACAACGGTTGGTGATGCATTTACTCACTGTGCTAAATCGCTGATGGCTGCGTTACATCTTGAAATACTGTCATATGTTTTGAATATGTTCGGCTTTTGTCGTACAATATATTATCTAGTTAAGTGGGAGAGACGCGTTTTTTTTTCTTCATGCCAGTGTAACAAAAAATAACCATATGGGAAGCCACTTCACAAACAAGATGCTTATGTCTGTATTTTACCATCCAATAGTTGACGGGGCTCAGAGTAGATTAAAGTTTTTGCTTGATTTACTCCTTCATCTAATGTTGAAATAGGAAGTGCGTCTCCCTTGTAGGAATAATTACATTCGGCAACATATTACATTGAAATCACGTTGCATCATATGTAATTAGTATAGCTGTTATTTCATTTCATTCACAAAATAATATCAAGAGAACCTGGATTTCAGTCATGCTCGATCTGATGTCTTACATATCGATTGAATAACTTTCCCATAAATGTTTGCAATAATACTTCTGAGTCTGAGACATTTTTAAAAGAACGTAATTTTGTAAAAAAAAAAAATTCGCAACTGAGACTATCAGTATTAATAGTGCGTCGTCTTCAGTATGGGTCCCACAGACACTGTGTATACGACACAACTGAAATTGCAATACATGTAGCATGACTATGTGAAACTTTAAAAACAAAAATATTATATGTATTTCTGAAATAATTCAGCATAAAACCTGACGGCGCCAACAGGTTTGAAGCAGTGTATGGACAAATCGCCGACTTTTGTATATAAGCGGTCGCCATTTGGATGAGAATCAAAATCAGTCAGTTCTAATGTATAACGCTTACCTGCAAATCTCAAATGAGAAACGATCTGTTGAATTTTTCTAAAGAAACAATTGAAAGCAAAACTGTCACCGTTCTTTGCACCTGTAACCACTCAGGCCTGGCACTCTCTCCTGTCTGACAGTACAGCTATGCACAGATTGTTACGAGGCAATTTATCTTCTGAAGCCAAAACAGGAAAGGAGAGCAGCAACTTGGTATAGTATTGATAAACAAGAGCTAGCATCTGTCCCGATTTCATTTCACACTAAATCAGTATTGACAGTTTTGTTGAGTGAGTGCTTTGATCCACTCCACAGTGTCATCAATGTATTTCTTTCAAACATACTGTTTCTATACCATCTGGTTTGACGCTATAAACGACGCCATTTAGTTTAATCGGATTGTTAATTCCGCTTATCATGTGGTTTTCCCCGCCAGCATGGACATAGTTGTAAATTGAACAAGCACACTCAATTACATGTTAACGCTATCACCAATGAGCATAAAAACCAGGGCAAGGCAAAATAAGCATGTCAGAGCACTCACCAGTTTTGACATTTCTGCATAAACGACCTAATGGCTGTGTAATTAAATCAGGAGAGAAAAAAAATAGCTGGAAGGCTTATATAGTTGGAGCAGGATTTCATCTAAAGATAGCAACAACACTGTGATATATGTACGTAAAGTGATGAATAAAACCAGTTAAAATTGAAACAACATTTGTTAATTTTTTTCTGATAATAATTTGAAGAGGACGGAATAAAATATGTTTGCTGAAAAGACTGTGAATTATATCAACATTTAAATATGACATAACAACATTCGTATTATTTCTTTTTTTGTATTAACTCTCAAGAAATGAATTGATCATCATATTTAAAACAACTATATGTCAGCTTTAAATGATTTCAAATACATGCTTTGAACATTGATTTGAATCTACAAAACATTCTCTGAAACGGAAAACAAACATTTCCCCTGTTCTACCGTATGTGGCGCACTCTATCGGTATACAAAATCAAAAAAAAAAAAACATGTGAGGTGCAGGTTTAAAACTTGCGGTGATAATTAAGAAGCAAAACTTTTTTGTTTGTTTATGGCCTGATATCGTCTGTCTGGTGTTAAGCTTTGAATTACAATAATTCCAGTGAAATGTTCATAGTTAAATAGTTAACAAAAAGAGAAAATTGATAGATTGCATGATATAAACTCCCACTGTGGTAATACATTCACAAGCGTAAAGTACCTATAATAATCACAGGTGTTGCAAATCATTATTTCAAATCGTGCAATTACATAATAGCCACAGGAAATGTGACAGTGTGACTGTTATTGTGATTAGAATGTTTAATTTCTTCACACCCGTGGTATGTATCATGCGTCGCATACTGATACACAAAGCTATCGAACGTCTGAAATGCGGCACGCCACATCATGTCTGAAATTATTCCCATGTGACGGACACAACATAAAATACATTGTTTATACTCTACACCGTGATGATGATTTTATTAATTTAAATCAAGTTGTATGCTGATGTGCTTCCAATTCGTTATTATATTAAAATCCTTCAGATTTGTGATGTGATAGTTTGTTGGATTAAACGCATTTCATTATTGAACATGAACTTGTGGTTTAACATGATCAAATAAAGTTTATTTTCACACTAATTTGGCGATACACTTGTCTACTATATACATGTAGTACTTGTTGATTATTTTTTAAATTAGTGCTTGTGGATTGTTAAGTTGACAACGTAACTGCCGCACGACAAAGCCCAATAATTAAATTCCTTAAAAATTTTATTTATATCTTTTTTTTTGTTATCAATTTTTTTTCTAGTAAAGTCCGCGAGTGGTACTGTTCTTTGCAATTTTGTAAAAATAACATTATCAGTGTACTTGCTCAGTATCACGACAGTCTATCTCTTATACATATGGATGCCAATTCATTCTCATAATTATATGACAAAATTAATGCTCGTATTATGCCTTGGTGTAAAATGTTACGTATAAAAAAATTAATAATTTAAAGCATAGATGTACCCTTGGCAAGATTGTTATAAATATTTGAAAAGGTATAAATATAAAGTTTGTGTATAAGTCTCCGTAGTTTTCAAACCCCGGAGGCATTAAAGTATAGTGATAAGTGGAGCACTGCATTTCTCAGTGGTGTGTGTACTGGGAATTATATTACTTTGTATATACTTTGCGTTGCATTGCATATCTACTGAAATTGACTGTGTCCGTATTTATATTTTCAGCGTCACACGATGTCACTATGTATTATGTGATTAATTATTTCTGAAGATCTTTGATACAGACTATGATATTAATAAACAACAAATACTGTAAAGGGGTTAATTATTCATTGGGTTTTAATTTTGCTTATTTCGCTGACTGAAAAATGCGCTAAATTAAAACCCAGTGAATATGTAAAATTGAGCATAGAGCACATTATCTAAATGATAAAACCATGAATTTAAAACCCTTTGAATATGCCTGAAATGGCAAATCAGCGAAATTTAAACCCAGTGAAAATTAGTCATTTTACAGTAATTCTGTTGTGGTGGTTTTGAAATAATTTCTCTGTGCTTTGGTATGTACTAAAGGCAATAAACTATTGTGACTAATTTGAAAAGCCAAAATGATACTGTCATTTGAAATAGACAACTTCACAATTGATATGTCGAGAATCAAACAAAAAAAAAATGAGACAAACAAACGTCATTGCATCATAGTGGTGTCGAAACTTTGCGTGGGATTAATAAGTATTTTTATCGATATATTCACATTTTTTAATGTGCCGTACACATTTGCTGATGCACAGTTTTGATGAAATATTAAAAGGGTATCTCAATGCCATGTTTTCTTTTAATAGACATATCAGTATTTTGACTACAAAAAAAAAAATTTAAAATCAATTCATTCATTTTTTTGGTGGAGATCTTCGGTCTACGCTTTTTACTCATTACTGAAGATCTCGCAGTGCTCAGAAATCATCTGAATGTTATCGTCTGCGCTCGATTTGTTTCACATGCTGTACCACATTTTATAATTACGTCATTTTTAGTAAGGTCTCATAAATGTTATAAACGTTATTCGATTTGGTTTGAAGCGAGACGTTTCTTATAGTACCTCAACAACTCTCATCTATATACATATAAAGATGACAATCTGTTACTATATCTGATGTGTGAAACAAATATGAAACAATTATGTGTGATGTAATACAGGTGTAAAGTTTGAGTGTGATAGGTCCAGCAGCTAGGTTCATTTTGGTGCTGTATATTTGCAGACATACATACATACACAGTCACGCATAGATGCCATGTTTTTGGATTCCATCAGAATAGAGATTAAATTAAATGTAGTCATTGACTCAGTATGTCTTATACATGTATCAATAATTTACAAAATATTGTTTAAAAGGTGAATGCCACATGTTTGTAAGAATTTAATTGAAAAAAGAATTGACATTTTGATATTTTGTGTTTGGTTACAGGACAAGCTGTACTATGAGCAGTTGAAATCTTACGTGTTCCAACATGACTTGCTGGTTGATAGTCTTATTTATAAGGTAAGAGTGTTACATTTCACATGGAGATCAGTTACTGTATTTCTCTTATAGTCCCTTACAAACAAAAAACTTCTATAGAGAATTCTATAGAATATCTGTGGCATTTTTTTCTATAGAATAAATTCTATTAAAATTCCATAGAAAATCTGTACAATTTTGAATGTTATAGCATTGTGTAGAATCATCATGTCAAGCACATGACTATTTACTTCACACGTTTTTCTCTCATTAGTTATACAAATTGTGACATTAATTTTAATAATTCTTGTATATTTCTGTAATGATGTACAGACTAAAAAAACTGATAAAAACGTAGCTCATATGCTTATATATGTAAATCACAGAAGTACAAAATGCACGTATGTGGATGGTCAAAATAAGTCATAATGATCCAGTATTTGAGACTTGTTTTCAATGAAATCATTAAACGAATTGACGTGTTTCAGTAAATCACCATGAGTGCATGTTCATACCAATTTGAAGAAGATCTGACCATGCAGGCATGCTCGACAAAAAGTTGATGACAGCTTAAAACAATTTAACTTCTGTGGTTTTATTTTTCGTGAAGGAACTGGCCACCATGCACTCAGCTAAATGTCATTGACATTCAAAAGTACTTGAAGACAACATTCAATGTATGTTCGAGAAATGATGTTGGACGTACTTGTAAACAACACAAACACAGATGAACTGACGGAATCCAAAATGTTTCTGACTACTACATATATATACCTCGAATAGAAGAGCACATGAACCAAAAATTGTATTTTGTATACTTTAATATCTGTAATCATTTATAAATGACTTATTTTGGCAATAGACTTACTGTACTGTTAAATACTTTATTTTCGCTTGGAATTAATTTTCACTATTTTCGCTGAAGGAATGATTCAGTGAAAATAAAATCCAGCGAATATACCTTTTTTTCCTATATTTTACATTCAACTCATCAAAAATCAGTGAAAATAAATTGCATACAAAACACGCAAAAAGCCTTTTCAGAAAAAAAATAATTCTAGCTAAAATAAAGTATTTTACAGTACATCTGATATTTACGCCTTGTTCATGCAGTTTTTAATTTCACGAGGGACAAATCATAACATTTTGTATAGCAATAAACATGTACCTAGAGGTCACTACGACATGAAATCACTCTGCAGTATCTTTCGCAAACATTTTCCCTGTGAATGGTTTTAAAATTGACAAAACATGAAAACTGTGGTGAGACGAATATAACTGTTTACAGTAAACAGTACAGCACATATTTCAAAAAAATATTTCATAGTTATCGGCACATACATATATTCAATTGCTTTGCTCTACTTCACATTTTAAATGCTTGTTAACCACCGGCGAGTCAAAAAAAATCAAAAGAATCTCTTTCTGGGAACAAATAAAAGGTCTTGAAATTGGAAGATTATAACAAACAAATAGGCTAAGTCATTCGGGACTGTCAGGTTCCAGGCTGTCTCAGTCTTGACTTAAAAGGTGCGACAGTAGTATATGGATTATCCCGTTCTTATTGTATTTAAGCCTAATTTGGGAAAATTCAGCATTTAGAAATGTGCCCTTGTGTATGTCGTTATCTTCACAAAACACACCTCAATTAAACAGGTTCAAGTAAGGTGATTGCATAGATGCGTAGGAAGTTGTTCATGCTTTCAACAACATTTCAATAGCTCTTTAAGACTAATGATATTAAATTTTGTAGTTGCGAAGTAAGCTGTCATTTTTTTTTTTTTTTTTTTTGATTCTAAATGTTGCCTTTTTGTGTGGGTATTTATAAATTGTATAAAAAGTGTAAATTTTGATTGATTTGTACAACGAAACATGGAAATATAGCGTCTTTGATTATTTTTCTTGTTTTCTTTCTCATTCTGAATCTAATGCATTTATCTTGTACTGTCTAGACTCACTGGCGAGAACATCTTTCAAAACTGGCAGTTATTTAACAACCATATCTCTCATATAAAGGAAATTCAATGAATATTTTCTGGTTTTAATGAATTTTTTTTTACTTGCACTAGAGATGTTCAAGTGTGTACATACAGCTTTAAAGTGTTGTCAAATTCTCCTTTGGCAATCTCATTGGATGCTTGGGAATCGGGTCAGAGCCATGGTATGTGACCATTAGGGGGTCAGAGCCAGGACCTTTGAAAAACATTGTCACCTTTCATAAACTGAAAAGTTTTTTCAATAAGACATTTTTATTAATAATAAGTGATTGGAAATAGTGTCCATTTGGCCAAAAATTAACATAAACTTTGAAAATACAAAATATAAATACAATTTTATTATTAAATTTTATAAAAATCAAAAACATTTGTGCTCATCGTTTCTGGAAAACAAATTGACCAGAAACTTGTTGTTGATCATAGTGAGTTATGGGAGGGGGGCAAATATTGGTGATATTGTGGGGGGAAAAATATTAGTGTAAAAAAAGAAATATGAGCTGTAATTATGTCTTAAATAAGTATATAAAGATATGATATGAAGTTTTGAAGAACTAACTTAAGGGTAAACAGAATACATGATCATAATTGTTTAATATCTGTTGTATTTGTTGAATGATTTCTCAAACATGTAAATATTTAATACTTTTTCAGGATATCAAGCTGACTGCTACAAATGATGACAATTATTTTGTATTTGAAGACTACCTCTACCAAGCCCTGCTTGTATTTTCACGAGACACACATGTACTTAAACACTTTGCAAACAGCTCTGCCACACCGGCCAAGTCTTACATTCGAGGTAGAGTATATATCTTACAAATTCTTTAGCGAGGGCCTGAAAATCTAAAAACGAAGTGAAGATGTATATTACACGATTGGACGGTGTCATTTATTGAGAGACAACATTGACGAGCAAATCTCAGCGGTGTATCATGTTTCGATGTGGGTTCAATGTGCTACATGTACAGATACAACATGATGCGTAAAAATGTTGTTTGTTTCATGAAATTCACACATGGTCTGTAGCACTTAAACAAAACTTGAAAAAACTTCTGAGAATCTTGAGATACCTTTTATGTATGCTTTGCTGCAAAGCTCTTTTAATAATTAGGTTAATCACTTTGTTGTCAATAAATCTTTTTATTTTATCTTTGTTGATTGGCAGTGTGCAGTACAAACACATGAATCACTCAGAACCGTCAATTTGATTGTATCACATAACATACCGTGGTATCAACAGTGTCGAAACAGTTTACGCCAAAGTAAACTGACGGATCATGATATCTGTTTCAAACTGCAATTTGAGTATTCTGCAGCTATAATTATGATTAATACATTAAACATTAATACTTCAAACTAATCTATCTTGATGTTTGGTTTTTTTTAGTCTGCTTATTTAAGCTCATTCTCAAATTCAATTTCAAGTTCATTCTCCAAAAGCTACGGTGATATCATTTGTTGAAATTTGGAGAAAAGACAAAACTTTGTGGATACAATCACTGGAAAAACAACTGGAAAATCTGGAAAGCCTTTTGTGTGTTTCAGATTGTAATGTAAGGGAAGACTTGTAGTACGGGAAAAATTGTAGTACCAAATTAATTACAGTGTTGCTCATGAAATTGTCCAGCTGTTTTGGAGAGATTCTCAGTTTTCCTTGAGGTCGCTGACCTCTCAATGTCACCTTCTGTACTTATAAGACTCCTAGAGATATACATGTATGTTTTCAAATTCAGAGCATATTCTCTGTTGGATTATTTCCCTTTGGTTGTAATGTCTCGATTTCAAGAACTATGAAATCGTTGTCTCTAAGCCTGCGAGCTTGTTACCGAAATGGAATAATTGATCCACTTCAGTGTGTATAGGTATGTCATGCCACGCTGTTCGTTCGTGTTCCGTGAAATTGTGATTTAATTTGTGTACTTGAAGAAAATTAAGTTTAGAAGGGAAGCGTCTCACAATTGATCAAGTCGTTGTCTCCTTCAAGACTGAATATAGTGTAGTTACTCAAGGGCACCGTTTTTCAACTTTTCAACATGTTTGTATCTTCGTAGGTGAATGTCAAGCTATATAAGGGAATGTTTTCCGTTGTTGTTGTTGTTGTTGTCTTCATTGTTGACTCTGTCATTAAACTTTTTATTGTGGTTACAATAACTAAAACAGTTTTTCTTCAATTTTCTTAAACTTAGATATTATTAAATCAGTTTGAGATCTGGGCCAATATATTGGTTAAATTTCACTTAAAATTGCCTTCTTCTTGTAGTTACAATGACTCAAACTTATGATATGTTGCTGTAGTATTATTCTGTCAGGAAGTTTTATACAATTCATATTAAAAACATATCATTCAATACGGGACATTGAGATTAAAACAGTACATGTATTAATTGAGAAAAACTTTAGCTAGTATTTTTACCTTGCCCATACCATCAAAGATGGAAGTGAAAGGTATATTAAGGGAAAAATTTTGTCCGGCGTTGTCGTCGTCGTTGTTGTTGTCGTCGTTAATAATTGTTATTGTGTGCATAATAACTTTACTAATTCTATTCCAAACTTTATCAAACTTGGTCACCTTATTCATCAGTATAAAGTCTTCCCTGAGTTTGAACAACAGATGTCCTGTATGAAAATATCATGCAAAAATTGAGAAAATCTG